GATCCTGGTTCAAAGCCAGCCCTGACAGGGAAGTCCTTGAGATTCTTACCTCCAATTAACTATGAAAAAATATATACAATAGAATTCTATGCCTCCATCAGAAAGAATGACATTGCCCCATTTGTTAGGAAATGGAAAGACTTGGAAAGAATTATATTAAGTTAAGTAAGCCAGGCCCAAAGAAACATGTCTAAGACAAACAGAAAAGGTCGAAAGCTATGTACATATGACCACATAAGCAAAATGAACCCCGAGATAGGGATACAAATATCTTTTCTTTCTTGATATTGTTTCTAACGTATCTATAATGTACCATATGATTTTTGTTGCTTTGTATATTCCTCTCCCACAGTATAACCCGTTTTCACTGTATTTAATGTAGGTGCCCTGCATCTTATATATACACTTCTCTAATTTGGGGAGGTGAAGGGAAAAAACAAAATGCTTAAATAGGGATGCAGGTTGACCCATTGTAGCAATGAGATGTACAAGACACTATGTTGAAAACAAACTTTACAACTTCAGTGGCGAGGAAGGGGGGAAGGGAGGGTAGTTGTGGAGGTGGGAGGGAAGGGATGGTAGGGGGGAAACAAAGGAGGAAGCAACATGGTGGAGGGAAAACAAAGGAGGAAGCAACAATGCTCGATAGGAAATGTGCTCAGTGCCTTGCTCATGTAACGGTAACCCCTCTGTACAGTATTTTTACAATAAAAAACATACAAAAAAGAAAAACAGCTCAATATCTATGTACATATGACCATATAAGATGATAAGTGAAATGAACTCCAAGACATGGACACAAGAGATGTTTCTTTGTTGTTGTTGTTCTCAATGTACTGAGTGATTTTTTTTCTTATCAAGCGTTGTTGCTTCCTCCTTTGTTTCCTCTTACCATCCCTGCCCTACCATCTAACATTCCCCCTCCCCACCAAAGTTGTAAAGTTCGTTTTTTCAATATAGCATCTTGTATATTTCATTGTTGCAATGGGTCCACCTATTTAAACAATTTATTTTTTCCTTTCCCCTCCCCAAATTATACCAACATCAAATACAGTGAAAACAGGGGTTATACCGTGGAGGAGGGACATACAAAGCAACAAAAAAAATCACCTTATAAATATGTTAGAAACAATAGCAAGAAAGAAAAAACGTTTGAGTCCTCATCTTGGGGTTCATTTCGCCTAACATCAACTTATCTGACCTTTTCTGCTTGTCTCAGACATATTCTAGTTATTGCAAATAAGGGAAACCATAGGACCTATGTTTCTATGGGCCTGGCTTACTTCACTTAATATAATTTTTTCCAAGTCTTTCAATTTCCTAACAAATGGTGCAATGTCATTATTGGTGGGAGTGTAAACTTGTTCAACCACTTTGGAAAGTAGTATGGAGTTTCCTCAAAAAACTCCACATAGAGCTCCCCTATGACCCAGCAATCACAATTTTGGGTATTTACTGGAATGATCACAAACAAAACCATACTAAAGCTACCAGCACAACTATGTTTATTGCAGCATTATTTACCATAGCTAAGATATGGAACCAACCCAGATGCCCCTCAGTAGATGAATGGATCAAGAAAATGTGGTATATATATACACAATGATTTCTTTTTTTCTTTTGTGTTTTCCCCTCCTTGGTTTATTCCCTCTTGTCACTGCATTGGATTTTGGTACCCTGGGCATTGTATATACATTTATCTGAACTAGGGAAGGGAAGGGGAACAACAAAATGGTGAGACAAAGGACAGAGGGGGAAAAATCTATGCAACAGCGATACTACCAAGAACATTTGTTGGAAATTATCTGTGCGTCTTGCAGGGGACGGCGGATTACAGGGAAGGAAAAGAGGGAGAAATGAGGGGAAGGGTAACAAGAAATGTACTCATTACCTTACATAACTGTAACCCCTCTGTACATCACCTTAACAAAATAAAATAAAATAAAATGAAAGCTGGAAGTGGAGCTGGAAGTGGCTAAAGTGGTAGTGCACTATCCTTGAACAGAAAAAGCTCAGAGACAGAACCCAAGCCCTGAGTTCAAGCACCAGGACTAGCACATACACAACACAAAATGATCTATAGATTCAAAGCAATTGCAAGCAAGGCTCATTGAGCTTTTGGGAATTGGCAAACTTACTATAAAATTTATGTGGAAATGCAGAGGAAATGACACCTAAGGTTAAAGAACTCATACCTTTTTATATGACTTACTATATAGTAAATGAGAAACTTTCAGGTGTCAGTGGCTCAAGCTTGTAATCCTAACTACTTAGGAGGATGAGATCTGAAGATCAGGGTTTGAAGCCAGCCTGGGCAGGAAAGTGTGTGAGACTCTTAACTCTATGAAGCTACTGAAAAATCCCAAAGTGGAGTTGTACCTCAAGTGGTAGGTGCTTGCCTTCAGCAGAAGACGCTAAGGAACAGTACCCAGGGCTTGAGTTCAAGCCCCAGGGCCAAAAATAAGTAAATAAAACAAAACAACCCAAACAAAAAACTATGTTGTTAGCAAAAGTATAAACACACCAGTGAAGTCAGAAATCAGTCAACACATACGTGGTCAACTGATATTCAACAAATGTATTCATGTAATTCAGTTATTGCAATGGACAATCTTTTAACAATTGGTGTTGAAACAACTGTTGATTTATTTTGGAAAAATAAACCTCATGCTAACCACATAATACATGAAATTAATTTAAAGTTAGAGACCTGATATAAAAATAAAATGTTAGTACTTTAAGAAAAAAATAAGAGAAAAAATTAAATCCTAATAAAATTTTGAAAAGAGAAAAAAAACCTAAATCATGTAGTAATTTTATAAGTAGAAAGCAAAAGGCATGAATTTCTTTTTTCAGGAAGTGATAAACAAGACTTCCTTGAAACCTTTTTTGAATAGTTGAAGAGGTACGATGTAAACTGGAAAAAGACTACAGATTAAGTATATCATGTGTGTGTATACACATGAAATGCAGTGCATGCATATTTATTCAGAACAGTGTGTATACAGAATATGTAAAGAACCACTTCATCTCAGTAACAAAAATGTTTTTTAGAGTTAGGCTAGGGCTTTAAAGGTATTTCACTGATTAAGTGATATGAGTGTTCAATAAGTACAAGAAAATTAATATCACTAGTCAACAAAGCACTAGAAATGAATTATTGTGAGACATTACTAGATACCCACTAGAATTGTTAATATTTTGAAAGTCAATACTGTTAGTGAAGATATAGAGTTCATCTCATGCCATGCTTGTTGGCATATAAAATAATTCAAAATTTAAACAATTTAAGCAATTCAGAGACTAATTGTATATTTACCATATTACTTAATCCATTATTAACTGTTCATAACTATATATATAGCATATATATGCAAAAGGCACCTATACTTATTAGTAGAATAGATAGACATAATGTAATACTCCTGATACAATGAAATACTACTCAGTCACTAAAGGAACAAATTCCTGCTACTTCTAACAATAAGGACAAATCTGCAAGCCATTATTAGGAGCTAAAAAACCTAGACAATCTTGATTCTGTTTATATGGAACTCCAGAAAAGTTAACTATGAGGACAGGGTGAAGATGATTTCTTGGAAAGAAATATGAGGAGATACTTAAGTTCATAGAAGTGTTCTATATTTGAATTGATGTAATTATTACAGGCTTATATATTTGCACACATATTGAGTTGAATATTTTAAATAAATGCATCTTATATACAAATTATATTGTAAGAAAGAAAACTTACAGTATTAATTCTGTTTATATTTGTTTCCCAGATGAAAATAATTCAAAAGAGAATGAATACCCAGGCTTAATTTCATAGCTAAGTTTTGTTTGAAACTACATGGGAGTATTTCTACACACACAACTGTGAATATCTGAGTATAAGCATTTAGTGCTTCATTATATTTGTGCAAAAATGGTGATCTACATCTCTTAAAATTAAGTAAGCAACATATTAAAATGAATATTAAATAAGTACAAATTAAGTATTAAATATTAAACTTAAATGAAAGAAAATACCAGTAAATTATAAAAACAAGGTTATACTACATAACTTTCAAAATAATAAAATAAGAGATAAGTACATCCTAGAGACATATTATTAGTGTTTTAAAAAATAGAACCATATATTAATGTGAAGAAATTAAATGAATATTAATGTCTTGAGGATACCCAGTGTTGAAAGTGATATGACATGCAATAAATATTTTTTAGGATTGTTTTCTTTGAGGAATTAATATCCACAGATACTTCTTGAGCTGCTCATATTTTCTCCCATTGAACTGATTAATTTACACTTACTATTTTAGTTTTTCTTTTTAAAAACAAAACAAAAATACGATCTCTATTTCCTTTTTTTTTTTTTATGGTCAGTTGTGGGCCTGAACCCTGGGCATGGACACTGTCCCTCAGCTCTTCAGCTCAAGGCTAGCACTCTACCACTTGAGCCACAGCACCACTTCTGGCTTTTTCTGCTTATGTGGTTATAATTCCAAAGTTTTTGTAATTTAGGGAAAAACATATCACTTTATACCTCTGCTAATCATGTTCTACCTTAAAATGTTTTTGAGGCAGTTTTTATGTTCACTAGGATGGACATTGTTGTGGAAATGATTTTTAAATTCTGGAAATTTAATTATTACAATTTAAATACAGAAAATTGTATGTTGGCTAACTTTTTTCCCCCAAAACATCCAAATGTGTAAACTACTACTGAATGGACTATATCCATGATGGCTTCTTCTAAAGTGTTCATTTTTTAATGGTCTTTTCCTTGATCCTGTGCTTGTCCTTTGTGATCTGTGGCTGTAATGTCATTGCTCAGCTAACCTTTCCTTTCCCATAGGGACATGGACTCAAATACCAGAGCCATGCTATGTTTTTGGGTCTTGATAGATTGCTGAGATCTTGTTCTTGGCCACTTTTTTCAACAATCCTTCTTGCTGGAGAGTCCTTACTATATTAGTCTTCATTAACTATTTCCACAGATTTGTCATTGGACGGGAAAAACCAGGACAAGTGAGCGAGGTTGCCCAGTTGATAAGCCAGACGCTGGAACAAGAGAGGCGCCAGAGAGAGCTGCTTGAGCAGCACTATGCCCAATATGATGCTGATGATGATGAGGTAGGAAGACGGCAAACTTGTTCTTCATTCATTCTCACCGTTTTGACTCTAGTGTGACTGCAACAATGTAGTAGGTTCTTTGCAGTTTCATAGGGAAGATATGTCTATATCGTGCTAAAATTCATTCTCACAGAAAGGAAATGCCGCTTGTATCAGATATGTATGCATCAAGTCATAGATCCTATTTATAGTATTCTGACTTTACCCATACTATTATAAAGAAATTCATAGAAACAAGAAAGTAGAAACACCAAAAATGTGAAGAGTAGATATCTTTATTGCTGGAGTTAGATGGTCTCTCTGTTTTACGTTTTCTTCAATCTATTCCAAATGTACAAAATAGCCTATGATACTCTTTCAAAGGAATCAGTAAACATTTTTAAGTGGAAAAACATACCCATACATATATAAACATACACAGAAAAGTACTAAAGATGGCTGAGTGTTTCCAGAGGCAGCCCCACCCCCCAGAGGAAAAGAAAGTTCTTTAGACCTGCTCACTATGATTTGTGCTAACAAAACACAGAACAAACCTCTTTCACTAGCAAATGTTTCATGGGGTAGATACATATTGGAATAATTTTACATCCTGTTCTCTGTAGAAGATCAAGTAAATGAGTAGAAGCTAACCCCCAAGTGAAAACGTTTCTCTGGAACTCTTGTGTGCTGTAATGTAACACAGATGCTGGCCTATTTCTAATGTCATGCCAAATGTACATTGATACAATAGGACAACATGCTTTATTATAAGCACATTCAAACATGCATATGTTCCATATTTACTAGATCCATCAACAATTTAGTTGTAGTAGTCCATATTCATAAATGAATATTCAGATAAATATTCATTTTTATCTCAATTGATAAAAGCATAGTGAAATTTTACATGTTTAACTTCTGCTCGTCTGAATATATTATTTTTCCAGGAAAAAAAAAACACTTTTGTTGGCAGCTAACAAGTATATAGAAAAAATTAAGTAATAGCCATTCAAATATTGTTGTGATATATATGTTTTAACCCAAATGTGTATATTCTTCATTCATTATAGTCAAAAATTAGCAGCGGTATGCCAACTAACTTTTGTTCAAAGAGTAATTTATTAGAAAATCTTCATGTGAGTCAATTAATCTTAGCATTCTATTTCCTTCATTTAGTCCTTCATCTGAAAAGTCCATTTGAAATGATGAGTATTTTCTAATTTTACTGAGATATGAAATTACTACTTTGGGTTTTGAAACTAACCTATTTGACCTTGTAAACTTAGCTTTCAATCTTCTGCTACAGTGTTTGGTGTTTTATTAGAGGCATTGATTTACTCGGTCTGCGAGCCTACTGTAGAATTCTAGAATCATTCTTGGCAAACTGCTCTTTGCTTCTCATTCTTCTGCAAAGATTTTGGATGTAGATTCAGGGGAGTAGAGTGACCTCAAGTGGTTGGAAGGGAGGAGGCCAAGCTAGGGCAAGCACCTGAGTGGCCTTGAGTCTATACAGGATTGGACTGAGCCTCCAAATTTTTTCTAGCTTCTCATATTCCATTAGCGTGAAATAACACATCAGGCCTAGAGCTTGGTGTGGTAGTGCCCCTCTATAATCCCAATGTTCAGGAGGCTGAGACAGGAGGATTGCGAGTTCAAGGTCCTCCTGAGACTGTTTCTAAAAAGAAGAAAAAAGACATTAGATTTAAATAAGGAGAGAAGATAACTGTTGTGTGTTTTTCACACTTTTCTGAGGAACATTGTAGATCATTTATCATGTGATTCCTCCAGTTATTTTGAGGAATTGATCATTGATCTCATTTATCTCCCTGAGTTTTCAGTCAAGCAGCTAAAGCTTGTGTGTGTGTGTGTGTGTGTGTGTGTGTGTGTGTGTGTGTGTGTGTGTGTGTGTGTGTGTGTGTATTGTGTTACTCACTTTATGGACATGTGCTAGAAGTTGGATGTGTGTGAATGATTTTTATAAAATGTAATAATTTAAAGTAACACAAAAATAATTTTGCTCAACCTTTATACAGGAACCTATACTAAGTAGAAGATTGCTAGGGTTTTGTTTGTTAGCCTGTTTGGAAAGCCAGTGGAGCTGATGGTCATCTGAGAAGGTAATTTTAGCAGTAAGGGGAGCAATTAGATAGTTTTATCAGATAGTTGGCAAGGATCTCTTTCTACATGGTCTCCATATTTGTTTTGTTTTACTTTATTTTTTTGACATACTGGTGATATTATACTGCAGTTTGAATTCAGAGCTCCATGCTGGTTTAGCAGGTGTTCCACCATTTGAGCCATACGCCTGACCCTATTTGTTCTGGATAGTTTTTAGATAGGGTCTTACTTGCTGGCTTGGACCTCCTCCTATTCATACTTCCCATAGTAACTACACCAGCCAGCTTTTTATCTTGAGATGAGGTCTTGCAAACTTTTTTTATTTTTTTTGTCCAGGCTAGTTTGGAATCACTATCATCATCCTGATCTTCCCCTAGTGTAGCTAGGATTACCGACATGAACCCCTGGCGCCTAGTCTCATTTAATCTTTAAAAGAATCACAAGAGATATTTGCCCCTAGAAAGGCAAAAGGTTTTTTTCCCTAGTGATGAAAGAGTAGTTCACCAAGTTGGGATTAAAATAGTTTTCCTGGCACCAAAGTCTGGGCCATGCAATGAGGGGAGTCCTTTTTTGAGGGGAAAGGGGAGTCTTGGGTGGGTTTTTCTGTACTAAGGCATGCACAGAAAAAGGTAACAAAAGATGTTAGCAGAGTTCCTATTTTGAGTTGTGGGAGTGTACTACTTAGGTTCTCTGAATCTTTGTTTTTTTTTCCTTAATAAGAGGGAAATTGGACACTTGGAGAATTCGTCAAGGCAGCAATCCATTAGTATCATCTTCATTAGAATTTAAGAGTAATTGAATGCTGAAATGTTTTGCAAAAACTTGAGTTTTGCTTTCAGCTGAATTTTCACTTTGTTCCACAAGTTGCAGAAATAGCAATCAGATGCCTCCTGTGTTACTCCAAGTAATCCTCCCTTTAGTGTGAAGGTTCAAGTCTACTCCTTTGAGGTTGCCCTCTCATCTTCCTCTGTGGCTTCTGTGTTCTCCTTTTTGTGTGTGTTTTACAATGCCTTCTTAAAACATGCACAGGTAAAAACAGCTGTTACTTTTCTGTCAATAGGAGAGATGAAAGCTGAACAAATCATGAAAATTCACTCCATTGTTAAAACCTCCCATGTTATCACTTGTTTCAAAATTTTAAACTAAGAATATCAAATATTACAAAATTGATTTGAGTGTTATCTCTGTATTTTCTATTTGTTCTCTTTTTTTCTGTTAATGAAAAGGAAAATATTCAAGAAGAAATGTAAATGAGAAGAACCAGAATTGGATCTCCAATGGCTAAATGATCCTTGAAAACCAGATTTAATTCAATAAGCAATGAAGCAATTTGTTGATTTACATATCTTTATTAGAACAGGCCGGGAAAGTGTGTAATCAGTCACCTGGCTTTTTACTTTTCTTACAATTTATAAAATCATCTTGGGATTTCAAATTCCAAATCTTTTATATGCTAATATCCCCTGAGACATTCCCTAAAGATAGCCAGGAAAATCTCTAATTAAATACAGAGGAACTAAGTTCATCCAACTAATTTTCAGAGCCAGCCCTCAGATCAGCGTTGTCTGCAGAAGAACAGAGAGCTTCTGGTTTTGATCAAACCATCCAAGGTTGACTGTAACTTGGAACTTGACACATTAACACAAGGGAGCTACGTGCATGAACGGGTTATGGCAGAAAGCACCATAGTGTGAGAAATGTGTTCTGAAACTGTAAAAGTACAATGGTACTCTGAAAAGGAATGAATAGAAGAAATAAAGTTAAGGAGTAACGACTTAGAATCTTTCACTTATACTGGCATATTTCAAATTGTAAGTCATGCTCTAATAGAATTTGAAATGTATAGATAATCCTCAAACATTTAAATTTATGCCTTTTCTATTTTTTCTCCAAATATTTAAACTAGAAGAGTTTAAAATAAGCAAACAGCCAATTCCATTTTAATTTGCATTCCTATTTCTGTTCACTCTCTGTTAAACATGTTAATTTTTTTTTTAAAAAAAGTAAAGATGATTGTGCCTAAAAGCTGAAGAAGATGGAAATCTGAATCACTGGAAGCATTTTAATGTACATCTCATCATATCTGTGATGAGTGGTTACATGTCTGGATTTCATGGAATTATTATTCATTTGTTTTTCTTTTCTTTTTTAACATCCTGAAAGGTAACCATGGAGGAGTTCAGTGAACCCTTCAGACAGTCAGCCCTAGGCCAGCAAATTCCAGGGGTATGGTAACATTTTCAACTAGATTTTCATTTTAATAACATTTAATCCCCTGTCCCATCATAATCGATACCTACCAATGTTTAACCTTCTAGTGGTGAGACATGCAATTGTGGTATATATTTTTTTCATAACTTGTTTGTATTGTATGGGTACCTTTTTATCAAAGCATGTTATGCAGTTTGAAGTAGTATGAACCCAGATTGGAAATACAATACATACTGGTGTTACACCTCTTTTTTTTTTGAATTAGAAAATAGTAGGGTCCTTGAAATGAATAAGGGTAATTTTATATAGATATTTAAAATCATACGATTATTTGGATTTCTTAAAGATCCTTTTAAAAGAGTATTTATTACGTTGTAAAGTCTTTTATTGTCGATGACATTTCAAATTCTCTTAGCAGCTGTTCATGATACACTTGTAATCATCACTCTAGAAACTGAAGCCCCTTCACCAAAAACAATTTAATCTTTTGTGATTTGTTTTCCTTACTGGAAATTATCATCATTATAACAATATCACAACAGTATTGATTCTTAGAATCTTTTAAAGAATTGGGTACAAGTTAAAATAGCTGCCTATATGGGGTTTTTATTGCTTATATCAACATGTAACAATCAAAGGCGAAAGCTATACAGTTTGCATAAGTATGAAAACACGCGAATGTAGATTTTATGTGAAGTACAATTCAATGGAGAACATTAAATTTGACTTGCTGTTTGATGTTTGGAAACAGCTTGTGCTGTGTAGGCAGGAGGTCCTAGGTGTTATGGACAATCTTGACAACTGTGCTGTACCTTTAAATCCTAAAGAGGCCCCTTCCACCCAGGTAGCTGACATCTTCCTGGTATTTGACATTGTGTTACAACTAGCATTAGGACTCTAGTACTTTTCCTGTCCTTGCCTTTACGCTGCTCTTCCAAGGTGAAAAGAACCTTCTTTAACTGTTTTTGTCAACCATTTTAGAACACTGTGGCTGAATTGCAAGGAGTGTCTGGCAACTGCAATAATAATAACAACTATTCCCTTAAGGTTTGTGTTTTGGGTAGAAACTAATGTGTATTTGTACCTTCTTGCTTCACATGTGAAATTAAATATTCTGTGTGTCTTATTAACTTCCTGTGCTCTGAAAAGCTTTCCCAAAGCTTTGGGTTGGTGTGCTGAATAATAATCTGAAAATAATGACTTGAAGGAAAACATGTTAGTTCTAGAACATCACAAGTCTTTTTGTAGAGGTTCTGCAGTTTGCTGTCACTTCCTAATATTTAAGCATGGATGCTTTTAATCACTAACACTTTAAATATTTTATGATTTAATGTCATGAGGAAAACTGGTATTTAATATTGAGGCTGTCTAATGGTTGCACATTACAGTATATGTAAGGATTTATATTGTCTTTGAATCTAGTGGGTTTTTTTTAGATAAAGAAGCTTTTGATGCTAAGTTCTCTAGTTTTTCAAAGCATGAAGCTTATACTTTTAACTTTTAAAGTACAGCACTACTTATTTGCACGATATCTAAAAAATACTACATTTTCAGTACAAAACAATTTTAGTAAAAAAGGTAATGGAGTTTGAAATGGAGGTCAAATATGTTTAAGAGGTAAGTGGGTTGATTCTGATAAGAGCCTGAGGAATTAGAGAAACATAAAATCTTTTTAACAGTCATTTACAGGCTCCAAATTTGTTAGATCTTTATAGTCATTAAATTATATCTTGTGATTTGTGGATCCTCAAGCTTGTAAGAATATGTAATAGTGATTATTGCCATTGAAACATAGGGCTCTTAGAAAATACTCAACTGAAGATTTTATCCAAGCTTGATCTAAGCTAAGCAAAGTACACATACTACATACCACACACACACACACACGCACGCGCGCGCACACACACACACACACACACACACACACACACACACACACACACCTGCACATACACTGTCCTAAGGAAGTAGACATTCTCCTCTGCTTAAAAGCTCCTCTCTAGGTACAATAAGAATGTACCTAGTATATGGAGATTTATTCCACATAACATTGAATAAAGAAGGGAAAATGGTAGAGTTGAAGGAAATAGAAATCTTCAATAGAAGCAAAAGCAGAGTAGCATCACCTTAATAATTAATGATAAATACATACATATGACATTGGGATGAAGAAAAGAAGCCAGACATAGAGAAGTACATTCAAATGACATTATAGAATTAGGAAAACTAACTTCTAGTGTCAGACTGGATGAAAATGACTACCAACTTCCATGAGACAACTAATTAGAACAACAGAAATGATTTATATCTTATATGTGGTTGTGGCTAGTGACCAAAGTGTTCACTTACATACACCTAATATCAGTGCATTTTATTATATATGCATCCAAAATGGGATGTCTTAATTGCAGAACTTCAATCATACAACTGAAATGAAATCTGCATAGGGAAATATGTTCACCAACCCAAGGAATACATAGAAAATTACCAATGACCTATCTTAGTGATTTATGGAAAGGAAGAAAACATTGTCTCTGAGAAATCATTAGCACTACAGCCTGAATGTATGCTAGGTTTCAGGAGAAAAAGACTATATCCTTCCTTGTGGGTATTTACCTTTGTCAAAGCCTAAATGTTACCTTTGTCAAAGCCTAAATGTTCAAATTTCAAGAAATGTGAGTTACAGTTTCATAGTGCAAAACTCACATGTAAATTAAGTGCCATGATTAACGAAACAGTGGAAGAAAATGAGGAAGGAAGAGAATGGGGATAAGTTGAAACAAAGCAAGAAAGGAAACTGAAATGTTGAGAAAGAAGAAATGGAGGAATGGTCAGCTAAAAACTATTTTATTAGCAATTATACCAAGCTGGAATAAAATTTCCACTAATGTGCAACTTGACCTAAAAATAAGAAATGCAGATAAAACCTTTAGAGTATGTACTTAGCTATCACTATGGTACTAAAACGAATAATGATGACAAAAAATTATACAGAAAGTGATGCAAAAATAATCATGAGAAAAATATTACTAAAGCACAAAATTCTATTCCAAGGAAATTTGTTTTCAAATAGGAAAACAAAGCTATGAATTTCAGAAGCGAGTGTAGAGCAGTATTTTTGATGATCCCAGTGTGAAAAAAATAGTTTCTTAAAACAAAACTACAGAAGAAAAGATTGAGAAAATTGTTGTTAAAATAAAAAACTTCCATACATGAAGAAAAATACCTTTAAGAAAATGAAAAGGATGGAACACAAAATAAATGAAAATGTTTGGAAAATAAGTAAGCCAATAGGAAAAGATTCCACTAGGACTACTGGCTTGCACAATCCATTCACAGAAGAACTCCAGTGACAGGTGACTCCTAACCGCATTAACAATCATCCAGTAAGTGGAAATTTTAAAACAAAATGAGATGCCATTTCAAACCTACTAAATTGATTTAAATCAGATAGTTTAAGTTCCAGAAGGACATAGAGAAAGAGGAACTCTTATTGTTGACCCAACCACTTTGGAAAACTGACACTATCCAGTCAACTGGATTCAACAAGCTGCCAAACATTTTAGTAAAACCCTTATATTTATGAATAATCACACTCATGCAGGATATACTTCTATAACAAGAAAACACAAGGAACACAGATGACATCTTTACTAATAAGAGCAGGCCAGATCTATTGAATTTGTTGTGTACTTTCACACAGTGCAAGAGTGCATGGAAGTTGTCTCAGAACCTACAAATCTGAATGCACTGCTAAAAGTTAAAAGGCACAGAAGAATGAGCACAATGGGATTCCATTTGTAGAAAATTTATCAATATAAGAACACATTGTTTAGCAACAAAAAAATAAAACTGAAACAAGTGAAACAAAAATGAAACAAATTCAAAAGCCCTAACAATAATAGAATTCAGCAAAATTTCTTTAGAAGAGTCAGCAGCTTAGATGGAGTCTAGGAGGCATGGGTCGGTACCATTCCTCTTCTTCAATTAAGTTGCTGGTCCATTGGTAGTGGTTATTCTTTATATATATAAATGTTTTAACATTTATTTAGGAAGCATTTGTGTCAAGTCAATTCAGTGCTTTAAAAGATTTTAAAATCTCTGTGCATATCAAACAGTTAATCGTCATGGGAATGTAAAGTGAATACAAGTGTCTGCTCTATGAGAACCACAAAGTAGGTTAAAACTCACCTCCATGTGAGAATCTCATGATATTTCTTCAAAAATAGAGATATTTTTCCCCACGTAGCCTCAGACCTACTGACTCATAAGGGGTTTGGGGCTCATGGAGGACCTGGGGCTATGGGAGTTAGTGGGAAGATAGCACGACAATTATCTTGTTTAAAAATGCCAGCACACTGATGTAAGGGTTGAGTTCTGGGTTTCACAAACCCTTTGCAAGAAGGAATTGCTACTGCAAAGCACCAGATAATCATGTGAGGTAAAGATCATAATTCCCCCTGGAAAGAGATTGTAAAATTGAGATTGTATTTATCATCAATCTGTAGATTATGCATAAAATGCCATTGATGACATTATTGTTGGTTTCTTTTGTTTGTTCTGCTTTAACTTCTGTAACCATAATTCCTGGTTCTTGTTGATGATCGACCATTATTATGCTCTATGAATTTGTTTCAATATAAATACATTATATCTTCTAATGTGGAATTAGTTGTATGATTATAGAACTGTTACAATGATAATAACTTGTGCCTCTCTGGTGGCTGTAGTTATCCTGTTGTGAAGATTAAACATTCAGGAACATACAGATTTCTTAGTTTCTTCCCACAGTTCTGCTGGCATCTGAATAAGTGCTTCATTGTTTCCTTGGCCTGTAAAATGAAACAAAGGAAGATGCCAGTTTCAAATTGTAGCGTGATATTTGAACTGTACAGGTTCACTTTGGTGTGTTAACTGGTTAGTTCAGGGTCTTTAGTGGGAAAACTAGGGCTCATTGCTCCATTCCTTGTTTAGAATATGTTTACCAGAAACTTAAAGACAGCAGCATTTACCTTTTTTGAAGGTAGGCAACATTTACTAAAAAGACACGGAAAATTAGTTTGATGCCCACAAGAAACTTGCTCTTTTGCTGTGGAAACAAAATATAAATTTGGTAAAGAATTTAAATTATTTTCAAGGTACTCATTATTGCTCACATTGGGCTTGTCATAGACATAGGAAAATCTACCACAGCTACAGATAATATAGATATGAGGATGAGTACTGTTGAGATGATTTCTCTGTGCATCTTTTCTATAAACGTCTGAAGAGCAAAGGCATAAATGACTTTCGTTTCAGATGATTTTTTTCAGTGATATGATGAACATATAACCTTGGAGTATTCCTCATGACCAAAATCCACAGCAACATAAAACAATAAATATTTATGCATTACTAGGTCTGTGAGTCAGTTGAGCTGGATGCGTCTGACTCGAGATCTCTCTCAAGACTGGAAGGAAAGGTGTCAGCCAAAGTTGTGGTCATCTAAGTGCTCAACTGGGAGCAGGTCAGCTTCCAAGCTCACTTGCAGCTGTCCGCAGGGCTCAGGAGAGCCTCCCTCTCCTGTGACTGTTGCACAGCCAGACTATGCTGGCTATTGCCAGAAGCCAGTTTCTTGTAATGTGAGGCCTCTTCAGACTCACAGCATGGCAGCTTCTGACCCAATAGTTATGGCACAGAAAGAGCAAAAGGACAAAAGAAATGTAAGTGACATTGTGTAAGCTAATCTCAGCAGCGAAATCCTAGTGTTGTTAGTAACACTATTACTCCTTTTATTCTTATTATATTCTGGTTGTTAAAAGTGAGTTGATAGATCCATGCTACACTCTAGAGAAAGGTACTATAAATACCATAAATACCCAGGAAGCAGGGATTGATGGGGATCATTTTAGCATCTATTCACCATCAAAGGAAATAGTGCCCCTGCTCTTGAAGTATACTTTCTAAAAGAAAGAGTATTGAAAACTAGCTCATGAACTGTCTCACAAGAAAGCATGAGTTCGTGTAGATGGAAAGATTTAACTGACAAATACATAATTTCACTAGTTAACTCTAAAAGAAGGATAACTTTTGCTATTTGATGCAAGAGACCACAAAAGATAAATCTTTCCTTTCTGGGAACTTAGTCTTTGCAGCCCCAAAGCTATGTTCTTGATTGTTGTAATACTTTATTGTTGCCTTGGAGAAACAAGGGGTAGTGTGTATAATTGTAGTCAGAAAATCACACAGTCATTTAGCATAATCTATGCATTGTGCTTAAACCTTGCAATTTATGACAACCCTATGAAAAAAGTGTTTTATAGCTGAGCATATTCAAGGGGATGAAATGACCCAACATTACAAAACTTAGAGCATACAGAAATCACTGGTCAAAAATAGGGAGATTCCTTTGCTGGAAAGAGGATGCTTTTGCTGCTACAAGCCATATCAATACTTGGTGAAGATTGGTATGTTTTAAACATCAGTGTCTTCATTTAAAGCCTTTTCCTCCAGAAAAAAAGCAGCTTTCTTCTTTTCTCTCTCCGAACTGATTTTGAAAATATATATATATAACCAGATTCAGACAAAATGCCACAAAACTGCATAATTAAGGCTATTTTTATGATAAGCACTGTTTAGCTTCTCTGATTTTACCACAGCAAACATTGCTACAGCAAAAAAAAAAAAGACTGTTAATGAATGGTTGAACCTAACAACAAGTAAAAAGCCCCTAAAGGGTCATTCAGACCCCATCTGCAGCTGGGTTTTGCTACATTTCATACTGGAAAGCTGAGATGAACAGAAAAGTCAGGCTCTACTGTGCAGTGCTGATGTGGCTATAGCTCACTTCATTCAGCAACATTTTTGGTGGCTTCTGTGCCAAACACTGGCCTACCCACTCTAAACTGTATGGATAAATAGAGTTTCCAGATGAAAGATGTTCATAAAACAAGACACACAAAGAAGTACCAAAATGGAATGGGTGATGTGACCCACACAGAGGGAACAGAAGGGAGTGGGCTAGTAAAGTATTTAGGGCAGCAGATGTCTTAGGTATTCTGATGTGGTAGATACTCCTCTTGGACTACTGCAGCAGGTCGGGGCCGGTGTGTGAGGAATACAAAGGTCTGGAAGATTCCTTGTTTGTTAGAAGCAAGTGGCTACTGCACATGTGTAACGAGAGGGACAGGTTTAGCAAAATGAAAGATTTTATTTCAGGAGGAGCAATTTCCTTACAAAAGATTCATTCATGGAGGTTGTCTAAGGAATTGAACTTGTGAGACCAAGTCTCAGCAAATAATCTGATGACCAACAGCAGCAGCAGCAGCAGCAGCAATTTGGAACATCTTCCATATGACAGGCTTTGTGTTAAAACACATCCCAGATACTGTCTAGTTTAATCTCATGAAAACTTTACTATGATAAGGGGCTCTTTTTATAGTTTTTTTCACTTCATAGATAAGAAAGCAAAGCTTAAATCTAGTAGTTAACTTCCCTAAAGTTTCAAAGCTAGGATTTGAGCCCAGATCTAAGTGACCAAAAATCAAGATACTTATTCCAATCACCACTTCACCACTTCTATGACATAACATACAAATCCTGTTCCTTCTGTAAAACTGGGATTTATAACTACAGTTCTCAGAAGTATTCCAGATTCTAGTATGTCTACATATTATTACTATTAGGTTCCCACTAATAAAAAGTTGCCTTTTCACTGGGTTCCGTATCCTTGCCTATAATCCCAGCTACTCTGGAAGCAGAGATAAGGAGGATTGCATTTGTAGTTCAGCCTGGGAAAATGGTTTACAAGTCTTCATCTCACCAGAAAAAGCTGAGCATGATGGTTTGCATGAACAATCCCTGATATGGCAGAAAGTGAGGGCCTATCTGACAAACAACCAGAACATAAAAAGGTTGGGGTATGTTTCAAGTAGGTAGAGCACCTGCCTAGCAAAACCACAGCCCCAAGTTCAAAGCCTAGTACTGCTGTACATATAATTAGCACCCACAGTGAATAAGTATTTTCAAACCAGCAAAAAATCAGATTATTCATTTTAATTCATGTTTAGAATGTGCCATATTGTTATGACTTAGTCAGACTTTATATTTAGCTTAAGATTTTTTTGAGTCATTTATGCTAGTCATCAAATTGATTATATAGAACTGAATTTTATGTAATGCCATTAACCTTCAAAAACAAAGGTTTGCTTTACTAGTACTTGTGATTATAGGCTTAAAGACAAGTTCATACATTTGTACCTTCGCATACAAACTTTTAGCATCTCTTGAGATTATTTACATACAAGGCTTGCTACATTCTTCTTACTATATGAGTACTAGATCAGTAGTATTTACAAAATGCCTGTTAACTCTCTCTGTACCTCTATATCTCTTTCTCCCCCTCCTTTTCTCTGAATATCTATGTGTATGTTTATATTTGAAATGGACTACCAAGAAAGCCACACCAAATCTGAAATTAGAGCACTTGTAAGATTTGTGGGCTCTTTTGTACTAACAAACACAAGTTACCTGAAACCAACTATCCCCAGTTATGGAGTATGCAGAGAAAAATCGAGTACAGCCTCACAGACACATACAGACATGTGCCAAATAGTATTGGAATAGTATTTATGGAAGAGTCCTAGATTCCCAGGTACTAGGGATCTATATAGATTGAAGATGGATGATCTTTTTTTTCCTTTTAGTCAAACATCTTGATTTTATTTGCGTGAACAAAAGGGAATTTTAACTACCATGTAGCCAGTTATAAAACACCATTGTTGGGCTGGGAAGGTGGCTCAGTGGTAGAGTCCTTGCCTTACATGCATGAGGCCTTGGGTTTGATTCCTCAGCACCACATAAGGAGAAAAAGCCAAAAGTGGTGCCATGGCTCAAGTGGTAGAGCACTAGCCTTGAGTTGAAGAGCTGAGGGACAGTGCCCAGGCCCAGAGTTCAGGCCTCACAACTGACTAAAAAGCAAAAAAACAAACACCATTGTCCCTGAATATCCTGAACATACTTCTGTCAAAAAGTATCACCAAAGTCAAGATCTTTGTGTTAATTGCATCTTTGAGAAGCAGCATCTAGGATGCTGGGGCTATTTGTTTACTATGTGGCCAATGACATTCAGAATGTGTCTCCTTCTAAACACCACAAATTAAACATGGGGCACTTGGAAAGAAGTCAGAATACAGCCACAGGGACAACTGCCAAGAATCAGACTATTGAGGAGCCTGCCATCATTTGAGAAAGAAAGTCCAAAGGCAATGGAATAATGGTATTTCAGACACTAGGAATTAACACATGGCAATGGAATAATGGTATTTCAGACACTAGGAATTAACACATGGCAATGGAATAATGGTATTTCAGACACTAGGAATTAGCACATCAAGGTTAATGACCAAATACCTTTCATATTCAGGAAAAATATTGAACATGAAAAGAAAAAGGAAAAGCAACAGTCAGGATGCTGGGCCTTCTTAATCAAAGGAATAGCCCATTTGGTACACTGTTAATGGAAGTTTTCTGCAGGCAATATGAATTTCTATCTGTATTTCATGTGTGAAAAGAACTCTCTGATGGAATGAAGATGGATTAGAGGTACTTTGTCTTTTTAACTGTGTGAATCAGTGATTTATCTTGAAATTATCTACGGCAAACATGGCAGACAATTAGTTTGAATTACAGTCTCATAGCCTGATGCTGCCAGAAGAACCACTACTTTCCAATAATGTTAAGGAAGTTAGTGGCAAAGAGGCACATTTATTACAGAGGTCATGAACTCTACCTACAGGGGCCAGCAGGTGTTACAAAGTAGTGAGGCAAACAGCAGAACTATGTAGCATTAGGGAAGATTTGTTGTATTAGAAAGTGTATGAGCCAGGCGCTGGTAGCTCATGCCTGTAATCCTAGCTACTCAGGAGGCTGAGATCTGAGGATTGTGGTTCAAAGCCAGCCCGGGCAGGAAAGTCGGTGAGAGTCTTATCTCCAACAAACCACTAGAAAACCAGAAGTGGCACTGTGGCTCAAGCGGTAGAGTGATTGCCTTGAGTTGAAGAGCTGAGGGACAGTGCCCAGGCCCAGAGTTCAAGCCCCACAACCACCAAAAAAAAAAAAAAAGAAGAAAAGAAAGAAAGAAAGAAAAGAAAAGAATGAAAGTGTATGACCTATTTAAAAGGGTCAATCATGACCAACTTTGGCGAATTCTTATGACACAGTATACTTCTATTGGCAGATATTAGTGTTTTTGTTTCTTTTTTCAAAATAACCTAGGACTCTAGAATTTGATATAAAATATTTTTTTTCACTTTGACAAAATACTCAGACTTATAAAAGTCCTATGGAGTCAGCATATGATCATATGCAGTTTGAGGGTTAGAAACTTCCAAGTTATCACTAGTTCACCTTCACAGTAGTTAATAAACAAAATAGAATGGATTGAACTCTAAGATGAGTAGAATCAAAGTAAGGCTTGGTTAAGGTCCCTTCCATCCATGTCAGGCCCAAATCTCTTTCCTCTCTGCTTGCTTCCAGTGTTAGGTGACTTACTTATACAACAAGGGGGAATTTAAAGAAATGATGTATTTCCCTTAGCATCAGAATTTTATTTAGTAAAATCACAAGATACTCAGATTGAAAAACCAACTCTCAATGCTCCTGATTCTTAGAAATGCACATTTGTATGGCAGACTTGTTCCTTTGGCTGTATAAACTAACATTTGTTTATAACATTGGCTGCATGAGGCATGCTGGGTTAAAAAAGCTGACTTTTACCATTTGGCAACCTGCTTTATTCCTATCTTATAAAGTTTTCCAAATAACCCACCTCCAACTGGACAGCTGGATTCTGAAGTCCCCTTCCTTTCAGACAGGAGAATATGCAACGGATGAAGAAGAAGATGAGGTAGGGCCTGTTCTTCCTGGTGGTGACATGGCTATTGAAGTGTTTGAGCTGCCTGAGAATGAGGACATGTTTTCCCCATCCGACCTGGACACAAGCAAGCTCAGTCACAAGTTCAAAGAGGTAAGCCACTGATCCACAAAGTACACATCTACCCCTTTCCGTTTCATTTTCAGTATGTGGGATTTTTTGCATAATATGTCAAGAATATGTTGTTTAATGAAGCTATTTAAAAACATTATTGAGATAACATTATTTCAAAGTAAAATTAAAGTCAATTTAATTGTACCGTCGCTAATTTAAATGCTTGTTGCATAGTAGCAGTTTACAACATAGCCAGACCATAATACAACTTGTGTGCAATTTCATGATAAGTTCAAGTTACATTATTTTCAGTTTGCACAAATTTTAGTACTTGGTGAGCTTTTCTCTAAGGCAGTGATTTTTTCTATTTTTTTCCTAATAAAAATCAGATGGTATACCTTAAGGGTTCAGTTGAACAGATCAGTGAACAGATTTTGAACAGAGTTAATAAAACTAACAAGGGGATAGTGAAAATCACAGGGACTTGGCAGCAACAAGAGCTACGCCCTCTTTTACCTTAATAGGTAAAGAGAGAGAAGGAGATTCCCTTTGTGAAAGAAGGCTGCAGCATTGTAAGTTGCAGCCAGTGCTAAATACTGAATCCCTTGGCAAAGATGATGTAGACTGGCCCCACATTCTCAACACTAGTGAGTTCTAGTTAAACTCAATCAGAAATGCTAAGTGATTTAGTCTTAAAGTTTGAGGAGATCAGCCTCCAGAGGTAAGGGACTGTCAAAGAAGTAGATCCTGAGTGAACAAATACCGTTACACATGTAAACTTGTCTTCCATATTAACTCTTAGCAACCTCATATGTAAAATAGCAACCATGATGGGTCAGTCCCCAATCAAATGCTCTTGCATCACAGAACAGTGCAGAAAAGAGACACCATTCTGTGGGAAGGGGCTGGATGGGAGGAAAAGGTGTTTTACCTGCAGCTGATTCAGTCAAAGAATGCAGGTTATGTAAAAGGTCAGAAATATGCTTTAAATGTCTTGGATAAATACTAAAGATGGTGAGATAAAAGTAGTGTGCTAGTAAGGGCCTATGATATAGCTCTTACATGTTGTCAGATCATTATGACCCTTGTATCTAGCGGATGATAGACCTAGAAGGAGTGTGCACATTCTTTTTATAGGATTTGACAAAAAGGTAGCAGTGATATGTGGATGCTTGTATCCTTCATTTTCTACCATGTTCCATCAATACTCTTTTAGATTTGCATCATTGTGTGGATGACTGTGTGATCTCGACCAGACTAGATGTTGGCAAGTTATGCAACATTGGAAAAAATCTGATTTACTGTCTTTTAAAAAAGTGTATGAATAAAATTTATTCAAACACAGTCAGGCCTATCTTTTTATTCATTTGTGACTTATTTTATGCCACAACAGCAAAACGTTTGGACTGCAAATGCTATATGATTTGCTATCTACCATTCTACGGAAACATTTTGATGACCTAACCCATTCTAAAGGACATGGCTGATTTATTTTTAGCCGGATTAATCACACTTACGTTGTTTTTTTTTAATGTAACTTTGGTTTTAAAGAATTGAAGATCTACCTTCACTTTAAGAACAAACACATAGCACATCACTTATAATTCTTTTTGTTTTATGTTTAACATATAACATTAATATATTACAGATATCTTAATTTCTTCAGGAGATTGCTTTTGGTGGTGACCACATGGCACGTTCTTGTAGCATTTGTGTCTGTGCACTGTCACAACACTGTTTGTGTGGTCACAGACATGTCGAATACCACAAGAGGCACTTTACACAGAATTGTTGTGTGGATGGATTCTGTTGTATTGTAGTCTTCACAGTTTTATATTAGCTACTTTAACTGAAATACTACTGGGAAAAGCACATAGACTAACATAGAGTCCTGTTTCTGCTCATGATTGTATCTTGGTCTTGGCATAGTTCTTGGCAGACTAAACAGTGAATGAGTGATATCAAGTGTGGACTAGGAATTAATTGTACAATGAAGATAGGAACCTAATTCAGTTTTCACAAACATATTGTTGACAGGTTGATTGGAACTTTAATGTTCATTCGCCCATTTCCCTCCGATTGGTGGAACAAGTTATTCGCCACAGAATCTTTGCCTCTACAACTTGAACAATTTCAGACCTTTCTACCTTTCTAACTTATCTTTCTTCAGTGTAGCTGTGTTAGAAAAACATTAGCACTGGTGGAGCAAATCACATCTTTTTAATAATTCCATTACTTACATCTTATTAAAGGGAACAATTGAATCATTTTCTTAATACCCTTTAAAATCCCTTTGTCCTTTATTGTAAGTAGGTTAAGCAAGTAAATTAATTGACATTTCTTTTTTTCACATTGAATCGCTTAATCCAAGTTTACAGAATATATATATTTAACCCAAGCATTTTTTCCTGACCTTCTGAATAATTTCATAATACCCTCTGCTAGTTACATACTAAATGAATTTATCAAAAGCTGAAACAAAGATTACATTAGCAACACTATAAATTAGAAACATTTTCTTATTTCAGAAAAGACTTATAGAAGAAACATATTGCCTATTCACTACAGTTTTTTATTTTTCATTTATAAATCATCTGTTCATTATTGCAGGGAAATTTTTAAATATTTTATAATAGCTATTATGTTTTAAAGTTCTCAAATTTGGGGCTTATAATTTTGGCATTATGTGTTTGACTTTATATTTATTTTTATAAAACTTTTTAAAATGTTGTAGTTTTCATATCACTAAATATTATTCTTTTATATGCTTTGTGTTCTTTACTAGAATATTTTCACTTTTTTTTTCTTTCTCAAGGACTTTATCTGTTATGCTAGCTTTGATATTCTTATTGTTTCTTTTTTTATTTAAAAAAGAGTATATTGCTCCCTATTAGTATTTCCATTTCTGCCTTTTTTGTTGTCAATCAATTATACTTCTTTAGTTTTTATTCTTGCATTCAGATAAGTGTGGTAAAACTCTATATTTTTCTGAATATTACTTTACCTATGTGTCTTTTTTACTTGTAGAATGCCATTGTCATATGTTTCTTTATTAGTTTTCTTGTGATTTCCTTTTTAACACAAGAATTATTCTGTGGTGTTTTAAATTTCCCAGACATATCGAACTCTGTTGTACTTTGTTATAAGGATCTGCCTTTACTGCATACTGCTCTAAGATATTCCTTATAGTAACTATTGTTTAGAACTTTGAAACTCTTTTTCTAATTTAATTTATAAGCTTTTGTTTTCCCGTTCCTTGTATATAAACAAAGCACACATAGTCTCTGTGTAGTTATGGAGTTTTTCATATATAAATAGGATTTATATAGCATGTGTCTACAACTTCTGTGTTTAGATTTTAATTCACATATTTCCCCTTCTCAGTGATTTATTTTAACATCTTTCTTGTCTGTCATGATTCATTTTGCCCCAAACTTGGTTTTATTATGGTAAAAGTTCAACATCAGCTTTCTTTTGCTTTGTATTTCCCTTACAGTGATCTGTTTTTTCTATCCTTTTATTTATATACATTCCATATCCATTTGTTCAAACATGCTTCCTTCAACAAACCCATTCCTGACTCTTAATTTTACACAAAATACTCTGGAGTCTTTGTCAGTTAATTGATGAGTTTGATCTATTTGTATTTACTCTAATCCTTTTAGGATTAGTACTTTGGCTTGGCATGTTATTCGTGTTTTTTACTTTTCATCTCTCTCTTGTTTTTTTTTCAATCTTTATACATATTTGCCATTAGATGTGTCTAACATTTTTATTCTCATGACTTATTTTGGTTCAGTCTTAGGGTCTTTTTTTTTAGCAATATATAAAGCAGATAAATAACTATTTTTTCCTTTAATAATAACTATAGCATATTGTCCTCTACCTATCTTCCTCTCACTAGATTTTTTTAATCTTAGAAGATTTACTTAAAATATTTGTAACTATAGCGTTTACAGAATGATTATTTCATCTTACCTATTATTCTTTTTTGTCCTACTATTGTAACAATAGTGAGATTATGGTTGCTGTCCTGGTATTAACTCCCTAACATCTTTGTGCTGATACTAACTTAATTATTGGTATCATTAAATGAGTGGCAAGGAGATCACAGCTTCAGGGCATGAGATAGACTATTCCTGATTTACCTCCAGATGAACACTTATGTGGAGAAGATTGAAAATTAATTAAGATGCTGGTTTCCATCTCTGGTTGATTTAGATCTTTGGTTTTCCAGACATCTGAAGCAGCTGTGTTCTGCTTCATTAGCAGTTTCTAATAAGAATTTTTGTTAGTTGATAAATGAGAGCTTGAAGATAATATGCATGTATGTATATATGTATCTATGTGCATGTATATATACACAATTTTAGCAAATCCTAATTGTAGCACTTTATTTTATTTATAGTCTTGGATATAGTCTTTAAGAGAATTTTGCCAATTTAAACTCATCTACATGTTTATTCAAGGTCTAATTGCTTGGATTTTGTTTTCTGCTTTGTTTCTTTTATATTATTTTTAAAAGTATTTTTTATTTCTGTAACATTAAGATTTAAGAACAAACAATACCATTTAAATGCACCATATGGAAGTTCTGAGGTTTTGAGAATTCTGAGTTCTCAGGTTCTGAGAGAGATTATTATTAAAAATCTGTTCATTGTTTGAACAAAATCTCATTCTATAGTCCAGGCGGTTCTCTCAAAATTCTTAGCTAGCCTATGCTGGCCATGAAGCTACTATCCTCCTTTCTCAGCCTCATGAATACTGGGATTACAGCTGTGTGATAACACTCCCAGCAATTTGCTACATTTTTTTCAAAGTTAGTTTTCAAATTACTTTATAATATATTTATTATGTATATTTTTATAGCAGACTTGCAACTAATATATTTTTGGTTAATCAATTTCCAACATTATTATTTTTATAGCATCATTTCCTAATTTTTAGATGTTCAATTTTTCCTTATTTCTTAATGTTGAAACATCTTTAAATAAAGAGTATAGTTTCTGTGAGCTTCCTATATCAAGGATGACATTTAT